ACATTTTGGAATTTTATATGATTTGTTGCATGAGTCCTAAGCTTATCAAGATTTTATCCAATAGCAACCAACAAGTGATTATCGCTGGCACCAACAACACCACCATCATTAGCAGCCTTATTGCTCAATGATTTTGTTATCATAGCAAACGCAATCAGAATGACAAGGGGGGGGGGGAATTAGTGGTGTCAAAATTTGACCTAACCCGAACCCGAAGTTCGGTTCGGGTTGTAAGTTCTGACCCTTTTGAAAATTTGGGTCAGGTTTGGGTCAACCCAAAAATCCAAAATCAACCAGACTAATCAGGGCCACGCTCTTCCCACACGCATGTACCTTGTGCTCGCAGCCTAGCGCCAGCCCCTGCGCTTGCACCCAGGCCCACGCCCTCGCCTGCGCCAGTGCCAGTGCCAGTGCTAGCGCTCACACCCACATGGTCGCACCCTCGCTCATGCTCACACCCAAGCTCGGACAATTCGCACCTGCGCTTTCCTGCACGTGCTCCCTAGCTCGCGAGTCTCACCACCTTGCTGGCTCGCCCTTGCCTCGCCTCCTTGCCCCATGCCCTCAATCTCTGCGCTATCCCGCTCGCATTTTGTAGCCTCACAATTAGTGGGTTGGGCCAACTCAACCCAACCCGTGTTGGGTTTGGATCCATATATCTAACCAGTTTTACAATTCGGGTTGGGTTCAGGCTATGATACATCGACACCTCTGTTTAAAATTGCGCAACAAGAGGCGCGCCTCTGCGCAATTCTTTCTAAAAGCGTCTCGAGGTGCACGCAATTTGGACCCTGGTTGAGGCGTACGCCTCACCCTGTGTGAGGCGCGCCTCAATTGCGCAATTATGGGTGAGGCGTACGCCTCATCCAAATGGTCTCACCTACTTAAAATGAGCATTTTTTTCCTTATACCCCTATCGGCTACACGCATTTCGCGATTTTTACCTGCTCGCAAGCTCCAAGTCGCGAAACCAGAGCCTCCCGCACGGTCGCTACCCTTCCCGCCGGCGCCGCCTCTTCGGCGAACTCGAAGTGTCCTGCAGCCCTGTAGGAGAAGTCCACAAATAATTTTAGGTTTTTTTTTTTAGTTTTTGGTTAAATTTTTCAAGTGAAAGAAATTCTATGGTTTTTGATTTTTTGAATTATTTTGTGTGATTTTGGATTCTTTCAGTAGGGATCATGATTAGAGGCAAGGAAAAGGGGTCTTCGTCATTGGGGATGGACCCTTCTTGGAAATATAGTGTACAAGTTGACATAGGCGGCGGAGAGAAGAGCTATGTTTATTTGAAATGCAATTTTTGCGAAAAAGTGGTGAAGGGATGTGTTACCCACATGAAGGAACACTTATCATGCTCGCATAAAAACGTAGCACCAAGTGCAAGTGTCGGAAAAGGTGAAGGAGGAAATTATTGCTTATATGAAGAAAAGTACCACGACAAAACACTTGCAACATGAGCAATTTGATGATAAGGTTGAATATGGCGCTTATTTTGGGAGCGAGAGTGGAAAGGGCTCTTCCTCCACTATACATAAAGAAAGAAATCATTCGCCCTGCAACCACTAGGTATGTTCTTAAATTTGTACATTGCAAATCATTCCTACTGTATGTTCTTAGTTCTTACATTTGTGCACTGTGAATCTATAGGTTTGCCACATCCTATTTGACACTGCAGAGATTGATGGAGGCGATGCAACCTTTGGAAGCAATGTTTACATCAACTAAATGGCTTAACTCTGCTTGGGGGAAGAAAAGTGAGGGGAAGGAAATAAGAAAGATTATTCTGAATGATAAATTTTAGGCTATTGTGACCTATGCCATTTTGAGCACGAGACCCTTAGTGCAAGTACTACCCTTAGTGGATGAAGAGAAGAAACTAGCTATGAGTTTTATTTATAATGCTATGGATGAGGCCTAGGAGTTGATTGCACACAACTTGGGAGAAGAGGAGACAAGTTATAGGGAGATTTGGGATATCATTGATGCTCGGTGGGAGGTGCAGTTACACCGTCATCTACATGCAACGGCATATTATCTCAATCTTCAATTTCAATATTCAGAGAAGAAATCTTCAAATTCGGAGGTGAAGCTTGGTCTATATCATTGTATGGAAAGACTAATACCGGAGCAGGCAGATAGAGAGCTTGCAGATTTACAACTTGTTCTATTCCGGAATAAAGAGGGTTTTTTTTGTTTGAATGCAGTAAAAGCAATCATTTCCAAACGGTCTCCAGGTATAGTTATTTTGGTAAATGCAAGACACTTTATTCAGTTCTGATTATATTTTTTTTTAAAACAGTTGAATGGTAGATCTAATTTGATGATTCCACCCCTGAGTTACAAAGTTTTGTTGTAATAGTATTGGGTCTCACTTGTTCTTCTTCTGGGTGTGAGCGAAACTAGAGTACATATAGTCAAGTGCAAACAAAGAGAAGAAATCGGCTATCAACACTCAGAATGAACTCCCTCGTATATATTATGCACAACAAGAGGTTAAGAGAGAGGAGGTTGAGGAATACGGGATTGAAGGATGATGAGGACCCATTGGTGTGTGATGATATATCATCTGATAATGAGTGGTTCATAGATGATGAGACAGATTTGCCATTATCAGACTTACAGCTAGAAGATCTAAGTGTGGATGTCTTGAGGGGCGAAGCAGATCAAGTGGGCACATCCACTAGTACCACACCACACACATCCATTAGCTCTGCAGCACAATAATCAAGTAAAGGTATTTCACAACTTCTTATATGCTATTGCATTATATTTATGTCAAGTGAGCAATTAATATGAAAATGATCTTTTCTCTTATTGAACAGGGATGAGAAAAGTGAGTCATATTGAAGATGATGGTGATATGACATTCATAAATACAATTGGAGAAGAAGATTCCCTTGAAGACCCATTTAGTGATGGGATATGATTGCATTTTATTTGTTCTTTGTACTTTGGGAGTTCTGTTAAACTAATATTTTGTGATTTTGTACTTTGGGACATAATTTTATTGCATCTACTTTCTTACTTTTCACTATTTTCATATATCATTAAGATGTTTTTATTGTAAGATAGAATATTGCTATAATTTTTTTGTTAAAACCCTTAATTTTTCATTTTCGCAATTCTGTGTCCGTGAGGCTTACGCCTTAGACCGCCTCGAGGCTTAAATACGCAATTTTAAACCTTGACCGACACTTCTACTCAAAGAGGAATGCAGTGTCCGACACGCATCCAATATGACACTTGTCTGACACTCCCTTGACACGTGTCGGACACGCCGAAAATGTGTCTGATTAAAAAAATATTAAATAAAAATTGGACACGCGTGTCCGACACACATATCTTAAATATTTTATGAATTTTTTAAAAATATAATCTCTTGTATTTTTCGGGATGCCGGGATTTAAATTAAATTTATTATTTCCTATCCACAAAATCAAATTAACGTCCGCACTTAATACCCATTCATCGAATATTCTCATTTTCATTTCTCTTTGGCAGTGAAGGTATTTTCATCTCCTCTCTCGGTGACTCATAAACGACATCGACGCCTGACTCTCGACATCTTAATACTAATCATTTTAAGCACAAATTCTAGTTAAATGACTTGTTATTTTCAAATTATTTTTAAAATTATACTTATTTAATTTTTATACACTATTTTTAATAATTGGCGTGTCCCGTGTCCCGTGTCCGTGTCGTATCCGTGTCCGTGTCTGTGCATCATAGGGTTCAGGTCAGCTGAATTTGACCAATGTCAGTTTCGGATTTGAACCAAACCCTTCTTGAATACCTATTTTTACACCCCTAGGGGGGATATGATACCACAAATAATATGATGCTCCCTTGATAGGTTGGCATGAGTCTGCATAGGCTCTTATATTCTAAAAATTAAAGGTTTAGTGTGAAAACTCCTGGGTATGGTTATGTGCATCACTTATTGATATGATATCCTTTCCTAGTATGATTTACATAGTAGATCATGATATATCTTTTGGCAAGAAGTATCTCGAACGATCATCACCCTTGTCTTTAAGAGAATGGGCTACTGAAAGCTCATGTTGGACCAAACATAATGGCCACAAAACTATCTGATCAAAAGTTTAAGTACTAATATAACAATGCCAACAACATAATACCTCTTGTGCTCCAACGAACTCCCTCTTGGAAGTTGGAACAACAGGAATCATCACTTCCACTAAAATGGGAAACATTCTACATCAAACTGGTGTTAGGAAAAAAAAAAAGAACAGGAAAAAAACCACATGCCGTTATTATCGAAAACATAGGAACCAGGGAGGAGCCAAAACTGCATCATAACATTAAAGTTCAAACACTGATTCTTTTTTTTTTTTGTGTGTGGAGGGGGCCTTCACAAATTCTAAATTTAACACCCAATGGAGCATCAAACCAAAGACTTCGGCTATCTGAAGCTAACTATAAATAATAATCTTGTATTCTTTAACATTATCATTTCAAGTTAATGCTTAACCAATACTTCTTTTCCAGTCATTCATTTTAAGAGCTGCATCAGGTGTCGGTTTTAATTTAGACACCCGGTTCTAATAACTTCTGACCTTTCAGGAATACATTCAAGTAACTTTCAAACCATTTGAAGATTTCCTTCGTTCTTATTTTGGCTCGTTTGTTGGAAGTGGTTGATTGAAAAAAAAAAACAAGATTACAGACTACATTTCGTAAGAAGTTCTCAATCTTCGAGAGATTAAAACTTACATTGCTACTAGTTTATATTCCAGGAAGTTAAAAAGCTTTGGCTAGTTTACATGAATAAGTCTGGCGTATCACTTTACTGGGTCCAAACACCACTTCTGCAATTGAGTTATCATATTCTGATTCTATGCTTCTCCAAAACTAAAACTAATTCTTTGGGCGTAATTCATATTTTCAGTAAGAAAATGGAAACAAATTAGAAAGCATAAGAAATATTAAACTGACTTGTAGCACATTACTTCATAGGAATCTTAAAAAACTTTGTCTCCTACCTTTAATCCCAAAGAGCAATTTCCCTTCCCGAAGACCAATGTTATCCTTTACAGCCTTGATCAAGTTTTGCATTCCTATAAACTCTACCTTTTCAGGCGAATCTCCCTTTATCTATTCATAAATGAAATTGCAGGATTTGTTAGCTAATAAAAGTTTTGATTACATGAAGATTACTAAACATGTGTTATCAACAGTGCTTAATTCCAGATAAAATATACTGATGCCCAAACTTATAAAGAACTCCCATACCTCAGGTTCAAAAAATTTGATTCCCTGCATCAAAGTTGAGAAGTAATCATTCCATAAGATACTGAAAACGCACTTGTCTGCCACTTAAAGTTTGTAAAAAATCCTAGATGCAAAAAACTTACTTGGCTGTACTTCGACCTGTCAGGAGTATCACCCTCCTTGGGACCCACAATAACGGACACAGTGTTGATTACTTTCTTAACGCCGTTAAAGTACTCAGGAGATAGTGTATTCATCTTGGTAACGTCTCCAACAACCTAAAATTACAAATTAGTACAAAGCCTGAGAGCTTGCATGATGTCCTGCACCTTCCTGACTAATATGATTGTTAAGTCGAATTCTTTCTAAAAAATGAATAAGAGCCAATAACACTGGAAATAGCAACTTTATACTTAAATATTTGGTTTGATATGTTAACTAAGGCTTCGTTTGGGATGACTTTCTTATTGCTTTTTAAAACAACTTTCTAGTATAAAAAATTTATTTTTATGCTAAAAAGTTGCTTTAAGAAGCAGTAAAAAAGTCATCCCAAAAAAAGCCTAAGTAAATTTTGAAGTCCTTATTTAAAATAGTTTAATAAAAATTCCAATAAAAAGACAAGTTTCAATAAGGAAAACATTAATATCCATGTAAAAATAAGATCGTGCAACGGAATCACAGTTTAAATGCAAATAATTTCTCATTTTGCAGGCAGGTTTCACTGCAACAGTGATCTCTTCCTCTTCATTGTGGCATATGCCATCTTGGTGACACATCTCAACTGTAAACATGTAACTTCTATCTAGTAAGCAGCTCACCAGGTCCACATCTTGCCCTAGCATTCTTCTTCCTTTTTCTTCATTTCTAACCTGCAATAGCATAAGAACAAAATTTTAACTAAGTGTAAGATGACCCAAGTGATTTTCCCTAGCAGCAAAAATAATAACATACCAGAACACGGACGGGGATGCCTTTCTTCTGTAAGATGTTGACTACTCTTCGCCCAACACCACCAGTTGCTCCAGTTACTAAGACCACACCAGATGTTTTCATTTCCTTGGATGATTCTGGAGATGTTGCACTTGATAGTTTTTCAATCACATATGCAACAAACTTCAAAAGCAGATGTTCAGGATTATGTTTAGAGTAAAAAGGTCCAAATTGCAAGAGAAGTGCAAAATTAATGCTTAGAGTGTGAAAATTTCTATAGTTTTATAAATTAAGAAAGAAATTAATCAACTCGTAGAAGGTAGTAGGGAAAACCTTAAAAGGATTTGGAGGTCCATTGAAGAAATATAATGTTTTGAAAAATCTACCAAAATCCCAAGCTTGACGGCCAGACTCAGCAAATACAGTCCACTTGGAAGGTTTTGAAGATACAAAAGAGAGCGTCCTCTCGTGATAGATCTTGCCCTCTCTGTGTGTAATTTGAAAAAATTTCTTAGAACGAAAAGACAGCACTTTGGTTTGTAAAATATCAGAAGTTCCACAACTGTGTGATGAAGATTTCCCCTGCAACAAGACTTTAGCCCAATTAACCTTCCGTGATGAAGCTACTTAATATTTAAAAAAAAAAACACTGAAGCCCGAACACATGTGCATGCATATAGAAAAGTTTAAACAAAAGTTTGCTTTGCATTTAACTCCAAGTAAACAACAGCAACATCAAGCCTTTAACCCACTATGTAGTGTCCGCTACATGAATTATGTACTCCATTGTGTCATATTAAGAGTCAAAATCTCATTAAATCTAATAAAAAAGTCATTTATAATACTTTCTAACACAAACCAGATTTAATGCATCAATTCTTCTATTTGGGGCATCATAAGGCCGATATTTTATATGACCAAATCATCTAAGACGACTCTCTCAAATCTTATCGGACACAAGACCTACTACAACCTTTTCACGTATAAACTTGTTTTGCACTATGCCTCTAAGAGTAAAGCAACTCATCCACCAAGCATCTTCATCTTTGCAACTTAAACTTAATTTACCAAAGTAAAATATTTAAGAAAATAAAAGGTTTAATAACTTGTATTATAGAAATGATTTTGGCATGAACTCAATCAAATTAAGTAAAAACTTACTAAAAAGTAACTAGGATTACTTGAGAATTTTTAGCGATTAAAATTTTCAGGAATATATAGGTTTAATTGCAATTAATTTTTCATTTAGAAGGCAATAAATCATCAGAAAAAACAGTTAACAAGATTTGGAAATTAAAAGATACTTTGTTCTCATGATTTAATTTTGACATCAGGGACAATTTTGGAGATATATAGCAGTTGAACATAAATAGAATTTCATGAAGAAAGAACATGGTGCAGAAAAGTCTATGAAATCAATGGATAATCTCATTTGAATGTGCAATTTTATTTATCATGCTTTAGTAGAATCTACAAAAACCATTAATGAGAAAATATCATCACTATTACACTTTAGTCTTACCCCAAATTTTTATCACTATACCTCGAATCTGCTGTTAGTTTTAGATCACCTATTGTCGAAAACTAGGGGTGTCAATTTCGGATCACGGGTCGGGTTTGGGTCGAACGCGGAATTGACCCGACACTATTCAGGTCAACCTGAACCCGATCCATTTTTTAAAACGGGTCAATTTTCCAAACCCAAACCCGACCCGCTTCGGGTCCGGGTCAACCCGACAAGACCCGTTTCCTACTAAAAAAAAAGCTAATTTTTGGGTCAAAATGGGTCAATCTCTTTTTGGGTCAAAAACGGGTCAATCTCGGATTGTCAGGTTAAAATCAGCTTTTGGGTCAAAGGGTTAACCCGAAACCGACCCGATTTTTTAAACGGGTCGAAATATTGAACCCGAACCCAACCCATTTCGGGTTCGGGTTGACCCTAACCCGAAATATTGACACCCCTATCGAAAACTACAAAAGAATGAACGTTGAAGGAGAAAAGCTAGAAACAAACTGGTGTTGTTCAGAACTACACAAAATGATGCTTCAATGAAGGAGGTAGGTATTGGAAAGATTGGGGGATTGTGATTTAAGAATATAAATTATTAAATCCTAGTAAAGAACATGCCTACTCGGGGTTGACATATCCTAATTTCAACAAGGATTTCAATCAAGAAGTGTTGAAAGTTATTATTCACCCCTCTTATTCTAACAACAATATCCTAAAATTAATCTGGGTATCTAAAATCTGGAGAAAAAAAAAAGAAAGAAAGAAAAACTTACATTTATTTCCTGCTTTGAACCTATTCTAGGCTTCAAGTAGACAAACCTACAAACAGGTGGCAGAAGGTGTATTGTAGAAATTAGAGACTAATGTGAGAGATTCTATAAGGCAAAGAATCTACAGTTTGCTTTTCTTTCTAGAGATGTGTGAGAGTAGGCAGGCCTGATTGACAATCTCAGGGACATGATATGGTGGTCCAATCAAGTATGAACAAAACCACCTTCTTCTTAATAAGTTATTTCCTTTAAATTCTATTTTCTACTATGGCAATTGCTTACAATTTGCAAGGTTTGGTAACATAAACCGCATGAAATAAACATTCATTTAGCTAGTACTTTGGTGTATCAGACATCATATGGAAAAGATAACACGAGGCGACATGTCTGAGGTAATTAAAATCATAAACACATAAAACATAGTTCTTCAGCCAATGTCGGACACTTTTCAATCAACTATACCAAGCTCTTCAGCCTAAATTGTTACAGTACTTTTAATTGCATAAGCTGAGTATCCTTTAAATCACAGTTATGCCTGCATATAGAAAACTGATGCTTTTAGCTCTTTTTTTAGTGCTTTGTAAGGAAAACAGTTAATTACAATTGTTGGCAATATATCTGATACATCATACAAAAATTATCTTGATAAGGCACTAATCTCAAAGCAAAATCAAGTTGGAAACTTCCGAAATCAAAATCAGGAGTACAACAATATCCATGTACTAACACCGTCTCCCTGATTTCTAACATTCCAAGAGTAAATTTTTCATTAAATGCGAAAGATCATCTTCAGTAAACAGATAAGCAAAAGCATCCTACACACAATGGTTACATTTTAATTTCTTTGATTTCTTTCTCATTTTATGATAAGCTGCTATAAAATTCTGGGATTAATTAAGATGAAGAGGAAGGTTTAATTTCTACCTGAGGATTGAGAAGAGCGAAGGTAGACGGCCGAGCATAAAGACCCACTGGACTGCAGCAGCACTCCATTTTCTCGCTGCAGAAGCGAACAATATGGACCACAAAACCAATAAATAGATGATGCGGTTTCCTGCCCTGCGGAACACACGCAACTACCATGCTCGTCGTCCGATTTCGTGAATCTTAACAACTTGGAAACCAACAACAGTAGGAACCGTTTAGACATAAAAACTCATCCAGTACATCATATCCCTTGAACTCCATCGCGTCGTATTCCCTCCGCGTTCCGGACCTCCGGTTCTCTCCGACGAAGAAAGCTGCAACAGGATCACCTTATAGCTCTGCATATCTTCCGAAACCTTAATCTTACAACGGATCCTCTGCTCTCTCCGAAGCCCTTCCAATACAGTGCCCGGTCTTATCGACATCATCATTGCATGCCCGGCCACGCTCGGGTTCTACTGATGGAGCAAAGTTCGGGATCAAATGGCGAATGAGCTCCGTTTCTCCCTCAAAAGAAGGAGAGATTGAAGCCCCCATGCGCCGGATCGTTTCTTACGGCCGTCTCAATACGCCGAACCGCAACCACCGGTCCACCGCACGTTCTACTGCAGCGGGACATTCCGTTCTTGCAATACATCATCGATAAACTAGTTCGCTGCGGCGAGATCGATGAGTATGGCAATTGCTTACAATTTGCAAGGTTTGGTATCATAAACCGCATGAAATAAACATTCATTTAGCTAGTACTTCGGTGTATCAGACATCATATGGAAAAGATAACACGAGGCGACATGTCTGAGGTAATGAAAATCATAAACACATAAAACATAGTTCTTCAGCAAATGTTGGACACTTTTCAATCAACTATACCAAGCTCTTCAGCCTAAATTGTTAGAGTACTTTTAATTGCATAAGCTGAGTATCCTTTAAATCACAGTTATGCCTTCATATAGAAAACTGATGCTTTTAGCTCTTTTTTTAGTGCTTTGTAAGGAAAACAGTTAATTAAAATTGCTGGCAATATATCCATGTATGGTGCAGCCATGTTTACTAACACCGTCTCCCTGATTTCTAACATTCCAAGAGTAAATTTTTCATTCAATGCGAAAGATCATCTTCAGTAAACAGACAAGCAAAATCATCCTACAAACAATGGTTACATTTTATTTTCTTTGATTTCTTTCTCATTTTATGATAAGCTGCTATAAAATTCTAGGATTAATTAAGATGAAGAGGAAGGTTTCATTTCTACCTGAGGATTGAGAAGAGCGAAGGTAGACGGCCGAGCTTGAAGACCCACCGGACAGTAGCAGCACTCCATTTTTTTGCTGCAGAAGCGAACAATATGGACCACAAAACCAATAAATAGATGATGCGGTTTCCTGCCCTGCGGAACACACGCAACTACCATGCTCGTCGTCCGATTTCGTGAATCTTAACAACTTGGAAACCAACAACAGTAGGAACCGCTTAAACATAAAAACTCATCCAGTACATCATATCGCTTCAACTCCATCGCGTCGTATTCCCTCCGCGTTCCGGACCTCCGGTTCTCTCCGACGAAGAAAGCTGCAACAGGATCACCTTATAGCTCTGCATATCTTCCGAAACCTTAATCTTACAACGGATCCTCTGTTCTCTCCGAAGCCCTTCTAAAACAGTGCCCGGTCTTATCGACATCATCATTGCATGCTCTGTTTCTCCCTCAAAAGAAGGAGAGATTGAAGCCCCCATGCGCCGGATCGTTTCTTACGGCCGTTTCAATACGCCGAACCGCAACCACCGGTCCACCGCACGTTCTACTGCAGCGGGACATTCCGTTCTTGCAATACATCATCGATAAACTAGTTCGCTGCGGCGAGATCGATGAGATCAAAACTATGTTATTCACTCCAGCATGCGAACTGTTCGACAAAATGCGGAGGGAAGGAATCCAGCCGTGAGTCATCACTTACGTTGCCCTGAAAGAAGAATTGCTGTCTGCAGCTATACATAAAACATATAAAAAACGAAACTGTACGTATACACATTGCTCATAAACGCGCTCTGCAAGGAGAACGAACTCGATCTGCTATTGGATTGAGGGATGAAATACCGTTCAATCCGTAGGGATGAGATATCGATCACGACTTCATCCGTGCTCTCTTCGTGAAGAGATTATTACGTGCCGTAATTAAAGTTCGGATGCCAAACACAACTAATAGATTTTGGGTTTTTAATTTTATGTATATTATGTGTTTGAGTTTGTCTTAATTAAGATAAAAATTTAAAAATATATAAATTTGTGAGTCATTAAGATTCCGCTCGTAATAATTTCTCCTCTTCAAGGCTGAGAGAATGAGAAGTTGTTGTAAGTGTTGGTGAAGATAAAAGAGATGGGGCGCGACCACCGACCAGATCATGGCGGTATCTACAATAATTACAACTTCGAGGCGGAGTTTTTTTTTTTTTTTTTCTCCAGCATGCGAACTGTTCGACAAAATGCGGAGGGAAGGAATCCAGCCGTGAGTCATCACTTACGTTGCCCTGAAAGAAGAATTGCAGTCTGCAGCTATACATAAAACATATAAAAAACGAAACTGTACGTATACACATTGCTCATAAACGCGCTCTGCAAGGAGAACGAACTCGATCTGCTATTGGATTGAGGGATGAAATACCGTTCAATCCGTAGGGATGAGATATCGATCACGACTTCATCCGTGCTCTCTTCGTGAAGAGATTATTACGTGCCGTAATTAAAGTTCGGATGCCAAACACAACTACTAGATTTTGGGTTTTTAATTTTATGTATACGATATATGTTTGAGTTTGTCTTAATTAACATAAATGTTTAAAAATATATATATTTGTGAGTCATTCATATTCCGCTCGTAAAAATTTCTCCTCTTCAAGGCTGAGAGAATGAGAAGTTGTTGTAAGTGTTGGTGAAGATAAAAGAGATGGGGCGAGACAACCGACCAGATCATGGCGGCATCTACAATAATTACAGCTTCGAGGTGGAGTTTTTTTTGTATAGAGAGAACTCCTCAATCAATATCGTAGGAACCAGGAGACCATGCTATAAGGCGGAGTCTGATTTGCTAAGGGAATGAAAAAGATGTGTCACATTGGTTTGGGCATGCGAAGTCCGGATGTAGCTCTATGTCAAATAAAATCTTGAGATCGGTTCAGCCTCCACATCCTTTTGAGTATGTCATCTCCTTGAAGAATGCAACATCCTCCTCCAAACCAGTCATCATATTTATCGACTGTTTCTCGTATTCTCTTTCTCAATAGATTAAAAAAATTTATTGAGCTAAACTCCTAAATATCGAAGAGATTTTGTAGATCTTTTCCTTAAAAATGAACGCTAATTTTAAATCCTAAGTTTGAACAGGATGGTGAAGGCCTTTTTCAAAATGTCAAGACTACAGGTCGGGTCATGGGCTAGCAAGAAAAAAATAAAATAAAAGTAGATATTAAAAATTCATGTGTCATGATTTTCTTGAAGTTTGGATGCAGAGCTACATCTAGACTTGATACATAATAATTTCTCTTATGTCTCGAAGGATATAATGATAATCAAGGAAGGTGTAAATTAAATATTAAGTAATCATTTAAATTAGCGACCTAAAATTTCACTAATATTTATTCATAACAAAATTAAATAGAATTTCACTATTTAAATTTTTAATAACTCATCTAAGAAATAATTTATTAACGAAACAATTGAATGAATTTTAATTTTAATGATTTTATAATAATATATCTAAGCATGAGCTTAAAAAAAATGTTTTAGATGCATCTCACTTTGATTTGTTCATCGGGAACTTGATCTATCAACTAAAAGATATTGAATTCGAGTCTTACAAATATAATAATATATAAATATAACATATGGGACATAAATACAATAGTAATTAAAGAGATAAAGGAGTACATTCATACTGATAAAACTGAATTTTGAAGCTCCTTTATTCCTCCCTAAGATCAAACCAAACCAACCATCACTACCAAAAAACCGCCACAATTCTGCATATTTGCAGCGGCTATAACCGCTGCTAAAATATGCATCCCGTAAATAGCTTCCCCACCGGTCTTCGAACCTCTGCGGAATGTCGTTGCAGTGCATTGCAAACACAGCGGTTATGTAGCGGTTCTACGACTGCTGCAAGGAAAATAGTGGGGGGTATAACCGCCGGGAAAGGTGAAAAATTATGCTGCGAAAATTCTATTTTTTGGTAGTGCATTCATTACCATTTCAATTTACAAGTCATTCATTTATAAATTAGGTATGGATTCATATGTAGAAAAAGATGGATCTTATTCTACAGATAAATCTTTATGAAATATATGCAGAAATATATATAGAACCTCAGAGGCATCAAGTGCTGTGCTTGGGCTGAAATTGTTGACCTTTTGGGTCTCTTTTCCATGAGTTTCTCCTGTTTTCTTCCTATTTAGTCAATTTCAGCTCCTCATGTTTTTCTATTATTTTCTGTGTTGGGATTTTCTCTGGATTCTATGTAAGCATCGTACCCACATGCAGTGCATGGCCACATTCTTTTTTTCCACTTGCTGTTTTTTTGAAAAAATTGCTTTTTTTTAATTCTTAAAGAAATGGTAGCTGTAATGAGCATGAAATTCCCAAATCTCCTCTCATTTCTTTCCTTCCATATGAAGTATATTGAGCAACAAGCTATAAGAAACTTAAAACTTTTTGTACCAATCGCTGTGATTCTGATCAATAATCCAGCTCAGCAATTGCAGAATAAACGGTCTGAGAAGCAGGGCAGAGGTGCCCGAAATAAGGCTTACTAAAACATCATAAGAGCAGTTGCATTTAAAAAATAAGTGAGTAGTGTTTTCACTGTGAGAATACAAAAGGGACAGTAGAGATCAATCTGAATATTCCTTTGAAGCAAGGCCTCTGCGGTTTTGAGACCGCCAACAAGAGAAAGCCAAGCAAAAGATGAAAACCTCGAAATATGTTTTTTTATGATAAATCTTATTGTGCAACTAACAAATGGGAGAATCTTCATAATACTTCAATAGAAACTTAGCAAAAGTTCCCTCAGAAGGGTCTTCCCGAAGTAAAGAGATGGACGTGTGTTCATAAATAGGAATGACATTTATAACATTTGCAACAGATTGAGAAATAGATTGAGGTAAAGTCCAAAAATTTCCAACAATTAAATCTTTCATCATGGCATTTTATCATAGAGTTGAAGTAAATAACTACCATCTTGAAAAGAA